ATATATATATATATATATATATATATATATATATATATATATATAAACACATTGTGACCAAAACAAACGTGTACTTTCAGGTTACGTGTCCCGATGTGCGAGCGACTCGGACGACTCCTCGGAGTTGGACATGGAGCCGCTGGTCAACCTGACGTCTCGCGGCAACAAGCCTCGCCTCAGATCCTCGTCGGACTCCGAGGGCCGGAAAAGAAAAAGCAGAGACCGGGTGAGACCCAAAGAGAGGGGAGATATCCTTCTGGAGGTGAAGAAGCTCCGAGAGGCTGAGGCTGACGGAGGAAAGGAAACGCGTGAAGACACGTTGGAGAGAGACGGAGCAGAAGCACCGATCCAGCTCGCGGACGACAACTCCGGGAAACAAGTCGGACAAAAACTGAAAGTTGGAGACGGGGAGGACGAGGGAGCAGCGGAGGAGCGGCTGTCGGAAGCATCAGACTCGTGTCACACCGACTCTCGCATTCTCACCAGTCCCTCCAGTGACTCCCTGGACGCCCTGGAGGAAGATGACCTGATTACTTGCTCCTCTTCCTCCACCCATCCCAACACGATGGCAGAACCTCGCGGCTGTGTCCGCTCTCCCTTTCAGCTTCACCTCCACCATGACGGCCAAGCTCAGCCTCATCTCCTCGCACCTCCGCCAGCTCACTCTCACCCTCTCATCCACCTCACAGCGGTCAGCAGCCGAGGAGGAGGAAGCTGCAGAAGGTCAGGAGCTCGTTCCACCTCCTGTCAGAGCCCTGATGTCCAAAACCACTCAGGTGAGCCCTGCTCAGTGGACGGCTCTTTGTGTTTTGCGGAGCTCTCCCGCCTTGCCGACCTCCTGCCAAGCCCCCCTGAAGCTAGTGAGGAAGATGAAGAGGATGAGCTAAGAAGAAGAGAAAACATTCAAAAAGAAATTTCTTTAATGGAAGGAAGTGAAAGCAGAGAGGGTGGTGTTCGAGACCCCCCGCAGTCCCTTTCTCCATGCTCCTCCTCCTCCCACAAGGACTATGTGTTTAACTTTAACCAAAACGACGCTCGCTGCTACTACAACCTCTGCTCCAACATCACCCCCGACAGCGCCCGCAGCCCTCCACAGCCCCAGCCACAGGATGAAGGAGAAGCCCGGGAGGAGGAGGAGAAGGTGGTAGGAGGTGGGGCTGAAGAGCTGGATCCTATCCCCATTCTCCAGCCGCCCCCCGGCTTCGGAGACAGCAGCTCTGACGAGGAGTTCTTCGACGCCAGAGATGGCTTCACTTCACCTGAAGATCCGGCCTCAGGTGTCGTACAAAGAGGTGCTTTATGTTTGTCTGAGAAGCTGATCCTAGGATCATTTGAAACACAGTAGAGTGAAAATATAGAATTTAATTTGTGTGCTGCCACCTGGTGGCCAAAGGTTGTACTACAGAAAGTTGACAGAATGACGTGTAGCTTGGTGGTCAGTGCCGTAGTCTTGTAATCTTGCAGTTGCATGTTTCAGTCCAGGTTGCGTCAGGAAGGGTATCCGGTTTAAAACAAGTTGGCAAGTTTTTCATGCGAGTTCACTCGTAGCGACCCCTGATGAAGGGAGCAGCTGAAAGAAACCTACTATTCCACAGTTACAGTAATTTGATTTAAGCAATGCACTTTATTTTGCATTTCTAGTATTTTGTTTTTATGCATCGCACCATTTTTTTTGACAACTTACAGCAGTTTTACACTGTGCATTTTATGTAGCACAACTTTTCATTAGTTTTCAGGGGAACATATTTGGGTGGTGCAGTGTTTCTTGCATTTACAGTAATTCCCAAATCTAGTGGGTGGTGTCCCTCTGCCAGCCCACGTATGGGTCATATTCCCATTTTCTGTATATTCTGGACCTTTTGTGAAAGAAAAATGTTTTTTGGTAGACCTGGTGGCATTTTAACTGACTAATATGATCTCAGTTAAAACACTAATTATGCTCAACATCACGTAGGTGGTATCGGGTAGATGAAGCAAATTGTGGATTTAGAGAAATTAAAAAGTTTGTGAATGTTCTTAAAAATGAACCCCTAAATGCTGACTAAAAGCAAATTACAAGCAAACAAATTAACTGTATGGAAAACTACTAATCTTTTTATTTTATGTACAGCAAAATAATAATTATTGTCCTTTTCGCTGTTTAAGCTTTTGCACTGTGCATGCATTTTTTATTCATCAGTATAAATACTGCACTCTTTATTGTACCACAATAAATTTAAATGTTGGGTTACGCACAACTTTTTACAATTACATTTTTGAATAAATGTAAACTTCCCAAACAATTGCGCAGTACTTTGTTAAAACACAGCTGAAAAACTTTAGTATTGCTCACTTCAGTGAGGGGTGTGTGTGTGTGTTGGGGGGGGGGGGGGGGGTTAAAAAAAAACACCATAATTTTAACAACTGCACCAATTTTAATGAAACCTCCAAAAAGTAATCACTGGATGTACTTTTGCAACTGATCGACTTTTGAGGTCAAATGGATTCAAGATGGCTGCCGCAACTACTGTATTTTCCACCGTAAACGTTGCACCGCCCCATCAGTCTCATCAGTCCAAATATGTCTAATAAAGTAGAAAAAAAACATACATCGCTTCGCCGTATACGTCGTATCTATTATGTGTCACCGCTGACGACCTCGAAACGGCATGCCTTACTGCTTGAGTGCCATCTAGTGGCTGAAAATGGTAGTGTTCAATATTTTCAGTCAGAATGAATGCAAACGGTCATATCTCAGCCAAAAATCGGTTTATAAATATGGGGGGGGGGATCCATAAATGTCTTTTTGGTGTATAAGTCGCAAATTTTGCAAAAAAAACAAAAACGTGACTTATAGGGTGAAAAATACGGTCCTCAATGTTAGCAAACACAAAAATGTCTTTCGCTCAGAAACAAATATTCATCTAAAATGTGGCTTGTGGCTGAGCGTCATCCTCATCCTATACTTTTAACAAATGACTCAACATTTTAATTCAAACTTTGGAATGTGAGGCAGTTTGTGTTCCTGCCACTGACTACTGAGTTTTTTTATTTAAAAATTTAAATATTGTACCAGTTTAAACATGTGATTTTGTTACTTTAGTACATTGTTTTCATGCAGAGATGCTTTGATGCTAATTTTAAATTTTCTGGTTCAGTCATTTAATGAAAAATTATGACAATTTTATTTTTTATAACAGGCTTTTATAATTTTGTCACAACGATCTATATCACTTCTTAGCGGTCTGTTTTTCTTTGTCTTGCAGACGTTTTCTCAGAGATGAAGCTGAACTCCCTCAGCTCTCTGAGCCCGAGCGACGTCAGAACGGTTCTGATGGATCCGAACGAAGACGGAGGCGCAGAGGAGAACAAAACACAAGAGAAAAGAGGAGGCAAGGAAACGGTTTTCCACTTCAGGAAACGATCACGGAAGCGGCGTTCTTTCATGGAAACTGATTTTACCTCCAGAGTTTCTTATCCAGAACCTGACCCAGAATCAAAGCACAGCCTTCCTGAAAACAGTCCGTCAGAATCCAGTCGTGTCCAGGTGCTCATTTCAGATCCAGAAACCTCGGAGCAAACCCAGAACCCCAGTCCTATGGTGTCCTCACTCACTCACATTGAAGGAGAACCAGCTCAGCTAGAGTCCAAACCCATCCTGTCAAAATTCAGCCCACACAGACCAAGATCTGGTTCTACTTCTGACCAGAACCAAGGCCTGAAGTCCCTCTCCAGGAGCAGGAAACAGGAAATGGAAATGGAACCTGATGCGATGGAGTCCAAATCTGTTACAGATGTGGCGATGGCAGCTTCTCCTGCCATCACTGTCATTCGCTGTCGGGTTGATCCGGACGGGAAGGAGAGCACAGACCGGATAGGTGACGGGAAGGAGGAAGGGGAGGGACATGAGGAGGTGGGTGAAGACAAGGAGCAGCAAACGGGTGGCTTTACGAATCACATGTTTCTCCCTGACATCATTGAGGAGGGAGGTAAGGAGAAAGAAAAGGAGGAGGAGAGGACAGGAGGAGACTCATCCAGCCTGAAGAGACCCCTGGTCAGTGATGAAAGACCAGAGGAGACCAACACATCGCCAGAATGTGTAACTGAATCAACTCAAGAAGGAGGTAAAGACCCTTTGGATTCCCACCGGATTGACCCACAGATAAACACGAACATGGATAAATATTTCCCTTTACTCTGTTCTCCGCCACCGCCTCCCCCGTCTCCCGTTCTGCCCCCAAAACTCCCTGCACACAAGTTCAAAAGTGGCCGTTTAGTAAAGACAGAAAGAAACTCAAACGTGGAAACCTCGAACCAAATGAATGTTTTAAACCCTAAACAAGAAAGTCCGCTCCTTGGTCTAGATACTAGTGAGCAAGCCAGTGAAACAAAGCTGTTAACATGCGTCTTACCAAATGTTGATGACGAGGAAGTCATTGTTGTTCCTAAATTTATCATCACTGCTAGTGACGAAGTTACAGAAAGCTCCAATTCAGACAATGTTTTTGAGGATGACGATGCTGAAACTAGTTGTTTCCTAAATGATCACTCAGATGATGAGAAAGAGAACAAGAATGTAACCACAAAGTGTAGCACTGGTGATGGTTCAACCAAAGCGGACAAATACGAGTCCAACATCAGCATTCAACCACTTGTAAACTGTGAGGTTCAAGCAAAAAGTCATTCTGTTGATGCTGATTACACTCTAGCTATAAACTCTATCACAGCAAAGCTTGGAGCTGCGATGGGCGTCTTATCCCCAAGCTTTAACTCGGGGGTTAGGCTTCAGGAAGCCTCAAATCAAAAACCCAACTTGTTGAGTCCGGAAGCCAACAAGAGGTTACCAGGAAACAATATGATCCACAATCGGTCCAAAGAACTACAGCCGTCGGCTCATTTTCTCTTCCAGGCCTGTTCACCAACCATCATGGGCCGTTTATCTGCTTCGACACTGAGGGGGAAGATTCAAAACTTACCCCTTTATTTATCGCGCTCCCATGAAAGTCTAAACCAAACTGAGTTTGGGGGTACAGTCCAAAGTCCTGCGGAGGATGCGGATGTTACCAAAGCATCAAATGTTCACGATGTCCCTCAGACAGTTGACATTCAGATGGGTGAAGCCACTGAATCAGCTGATTCAGACGATTCAGATGCCACAGTGACTGAATCTGAGATGGACATTGAGGTCTTTAGTGAAACAACTTCAGCAAAGATTTTTTCTTCAGGGTCAGAGGTTAAAGATGAAATCCATCAGCAACCTGTACAAACTGAGCCTAAACCCAACTCCGGTCCTACCTCCAGGTGTAACGACAGCACACCAGGGCCCATAACAGAGCCTCCTGCCTCCATTATAACCCTACTCCAAAATGACACCAAGGGCTTAAAGTTAGACGCTCCTGGACCATCACTAAATGCTCCAGAACTAAACATACAAGTCAACAGTCTACAGGAAGACATTCCCGGTTATAAACTCCATGATCAGTCAGTCTTGACTCAGATGGTGGTGACTACACAGAATTTGAATGGACCAAAACTTGCTTTTCATGGACAGTCTCAAAGAACCAGTACTGAAAGGCCTTTGATGGGTCTTTGTAGACCTTCCGGTCAAAATTACGACCCATCAAGAACCCCTTCAGCAGGCTGCAGAGTGTTTACCATTTGTGGGGATTCCTCTCACGCAAAGGCTCCGGTAGACTTGAGGTCCACTCTTCCCCTGAAGTCTGAGTTTAGTTGTGGTTCTACACTCACATCTGGATGTGAATCGGTTACAGAGAGTATCCAGGTGCCTCTGGATGCTTGTGGCTGTCCAACAGTTTACTCAAACTGCTTCAGCGGGGAGGACAACTTTGACGAGGAGCTCACAGTATTCGAGTTTTCCTGCCGCTCCCAGAACAGTGGTCTAACCCAGACCTCAGGAGCAGGTCTTCATCTTATAACATCACCACCCATTCCTTCCTTTAGCTCCCCCCTTCCTCCTCCATGTTCACGCCCCATTTTTTTCTCCTCCTCCACCTCTGAGCTCAGCCCTCTCCTCTCCCCTCAGTCGAACATGTCGTACATGTCTCAAAAGCACAAGGACACAATCAGTTGTTTAGGTCAACAGTGTTACCCAGAACCTCCAGTGGGGTTCAAAGTTCTTTGCAGGGATGTGGATAAGCTGCTTTGCATTTTAGAAGGTGGTGGCGTTGACCGATCTGTGATAAGACATGGAGGTCGCCACCCAAGGAACACCTGCCCTGCGCACTTTACAGAAAATAAAAGACTTCTCCAGTTAGAAGCCCGTCGGCTGATGACAGGCTGCCAGCAGGTGGTGGGGATCGGACAAAGCCCACAGGAAATGCTACACTCTTTGGCCAACAGTTTCCGGACCCTAGTGGAGCTGGCCAGCATCTGCCTCTGGTTCTCCGGTTGCGACCGATGCGACCAAAGGAATGCAGAGGCGGTGGCAGGCCTGGTGGACGTAGCTCGCTCATTCAGGGACTTCTGTCTTGCAGCGGAGAGAGCCAGTAGCAACCGTAGCTGCCAGGACCTGAGCACCAAGCTGCTGGCCAAGCAGTGCACAGCACTCACAGCGTCCGTCTTCTGCCTCACCCAGCTGTTCCGCACTCTCACTTCACTGTGAGTGGAGCAGAACCTCTGAAAACCCCTCTTGCATGGGGTCACCACTGTGCCCAGTGTTGCTGAAGGTATGGGCATTACGAGCTCGGGCAGTCACAGAACTCAACGTTATGCATGTGGCAACTGACTTTATGCTGCACACGTCTACAAATCAGGCCATCAGGCCGAAAGCATCTGTAGAATTTATGAACTGATGTACTTGAATGTATCCTTTATCTATCGAGCTTGTTAATTTCATCAGTTGTTTATTGAATGTGTTGCTACAGTGTGTTTGGGGAAGCGAATGTCAGGGAAGGAAGAAATGTTTACAGAAATCTTCATGCAAACAAGAAGCAGTCATATCCAAGTATTCACATACAGAGAGACGGAATAAATCTGTTTGATCCGTCTGTTCAGGCCTTCGGTTAAAAGAATCTCCGATTAGTTGGAACAGTAGACCTTATTTGATAAGCAACTACTTCAGCTATAAAAACAAAACTGTAAAAATACTGTTTTTTTTTTAATGTATTTATTTAATGACACGTGGACACAACAATTTTATTTAAGCTGCAATGCATTCTGGGCGAATGACGTAAACAGGTTGCTCCAGTGCCCAAAGCTACTACTGTTAGCTCCAGAGTGGATATGCATGGCATTCGCTCCAGAGGTAATACATATGTTATTTCCATACCTAATTAATTAAGCAGCACAAGTTTGATTGTTTTGACCCATAAATTGTGCATAAGGACCAATATAAAATTTAACTTTATTGTCATAACTTTTTAGCCTCGTCTCCTTGTGTTTTAGTTTCCACTATAAGCTAAGTACGTCATCACTCCAGAATGCATTGCACTGGTCATAATAAGGGCAACGTCCTTTGAAGAAAAATGTAATGGACATATATAATTTTTTTTAAGTAATTAGGAGTTTTCACCTGTTAAAACAACTTTTGGTAGAATAAAGAAACAACATTTTAAGACGCAAATAGTTGGAGATTCCTTTAACGGTTGACGTTTCCATGACTAGACTCTGTTTTCTCTGATCCTACTCACATGCTGTAACTTTTTGCTGTCCTGACTGTGAGGACATTTTTAAATGTTTACAAAAAAACAACAACAACAACAAAAAAAGGTTAAAAAGCTATTTGGTCAAACCAAGCCTGAAGGTGTTGAACATTTTATAACATGGTAGTGGACTGATGACATATGTGCAGTATATGGTTTTTGTTTATTTTTATTTATTCATTTATTTGGCTTTGGGGGGGACCTTTATAAATTTACTGGCCCCCTGGCCAATCTTGTCTTCCTCGGTCCTAAGCTTTTGCTTGAAGTTTAGTTTTTTTTTAAGCTAATAAGGATTTGCAAAACAAAATAAAATAAGACCTATATCACAACGTGATTCACTAACTCCCAGTATTTTTCAAAAATCTTTCATGACTTCAGCTTAAGAAAACTCAAACTGTTCTGACTTTTGGTTTTGATGTGCCACCCCTGGATTATCAGTGGGCCCCTCTTTGAAAATGTTCTAGAGGTGGCCCTGGATGAGCCACAACTAAACCCTCCAGTCTGCAGGGAAGTTGCCGTCAACCCTTATTTATTTAGCAATGTTCAGTCGGGTCATTTGGACGGTTTCTTTTTTCAATGAGACGTTTCGTCCTTCATCCAAAGGACTTCTTCAGTTCGAGGAGTCACAAACAAACTGGAGTCCCATAAGTACCAACTCCAATAGTAGTGAAAACAACTGTTTGCTGGTGATAAGATGGTTTCTGGGGCCTGCCCTCTCCCCTGTCAACTCCTCTAAGGCAGTCATGCCAAAATGGTTCAAAACACCAAAGTTCATGCTCAATGATCCATGTACAAGACCCACAATGTTCTGTCAGGTCATCTGGAAGGTTTATTTTTTTTGCTGAGATATTCCGTCCTTCATCCAAAGGACTCCTTAAGTTTAAGAACTCTGACTCAGGCTGAATAAGTCCTTTGGATTATGTTAAAATCTTAGCAAAAGAAGAAACTGTCCATATGACTTGACTGAACATTGTTGGACTTGTACCTGGATTATTGAGCATGAACTTTGGCCTTATTTAGTTAGTTAGTTAGTACTTTGTACAAACACTATGCACTGAGGAAGAGTCTGCGGTCTAAAGAAAATGGTAATTACTAAAAATTTATTTTTTGGTGGATAGCTTTTATAGTTTTAAAACTCTTGAGGCTTCAAACCTCATTTCAAAGTCACAAAAAGCTGAAACATCACCGTTTGAACTGAGCAGAACGTCAGAACAAACTGACTCATACCAACTTGAACCATTTTACACCAAGTGCTTTTTTACTACAGATGACAATAAAAGGTAATGGTAACAGACTTTAGCTACGAATATCCCAAACTAAGCTTAACCATCAGCTTTTTTTAATGAAGTTTAAGGTTTTGTTTGACACCGTCTTTGTCAGAATTCAACATTCATCCCAAACGTTTTCACCTGGAATGTTCCTCATAAAGTGTTGAAGTAAACTGGATCTGCATGATCGCTGAAGAAATACCTCGTAAGTTTATGACTTCAGTGCCACAAACAGCGTCTCTTATATTTATAAAGGCTCATTAAAATATGTTGTAACATTTTTCTCTTTTGGTTGCAAAAGAATAAATGTTCTTGTTCATTTCCATTTTGCATCGTTAAAGAATCGAGATGCCTCAAATGAATTCAATCATCTGTGCAACAAAGCATGCCGTTCCAAGCCATACAATGGACTGTTGTTTCATCAGGGATTTTATCTGTGAATGTCTCTGCTGTTGCTTTGTGATGCTTAAATACCCCCATTAAAGCGGTCAGTTTAAGATTGTTTTCAGTTTTTATTTTTCAGTCTATAATTATTTAACCTCAGAAAAAATGAAAATTATTTAAAAGCAAGCTGCAAAGGGAGTATATGCATAATTATTGTATGCCGCCAAAAAACGAAGGCATTTGTCTGTTAGTAAAATATCTCAACCAATAGACTGATTTTAATGAAATTCGCAGTAAGTAATTGTTTGATATTCCTCTATATCTAGCTTACATTTGGTGCTGATCCAATTTAAGATGGCCACCATAGCCAGCAGAACGTACACAACACAAACAGGTCTATAACAGTCAATGTTACATTGTTCTAAACTTTGCTGTGGTCAACTCCCATAGAGTTTCTTGAATTAATAAGGCAGGAAGTATGATGTTGCTATGGCAACCCGATATTAAAATTAAGACGTTACTTCTCCATTTGTTTTTTTTGTTTTTATTTTAAGAATTAATGGCCATTTCATCAGGCTAACACATTTTTTACTGTTTTATTCCCAACCGCTACATTTTTTTATTGAAGTTTACCGACTACTGTCAATAAATTACGTTTAAATTTAATTCAAGCATTCAAAAGTTAATTTTTTTTAGCTCTATATTCTTTTAATGATGTTTTTTTTTTTTAATTAACAGGAAGTGCAACATACTATAACTTCAAAATAAGTTGCTTTTTTTTTAAGTAAAATAAACTAGAGCTAGAACTAGAATAATTTAATCCACCCTAAACTATTTTTGGTGTGCTTTTATGACATGTGGAGGAAGTTATTTAAAATCAAAATGCATGAAATATGTTCTGAATTCTCAATGGTGAGTGCCGTGGTCTTGTAATCCTGAGGTTACGGGTTCGAGCCCAGGTTATGTCAAGGACATCCTGCGTTGCTGTGGGGACCCCTGAAGTGGGAGCATCCAAAAGAAACATCCCATCATAACCTTTTAAATGATGATCTAGATATCCGTCTTTAATGTTTAAAACTGATGCTTTTTTAAGTACTGTATTTTCCGCAGTACACGTCTCTTCAGTCCAAATATGTCTAATAAAGTGGAAAAAAACATAAATATGTCTCTTCGTTGTATAAGTCGCATCTATTATGCGTCAGCACTGACAATCTGGACATGTGGGCCGGTGTTGTGCCAAAAATCGATTTGCTGCCAAATGCAGCCACGGGAGGGCAAGAATTTAACAACACTTAAAAACAATTATGTTTGCTCTAAATTATAGTAAAGGTGTGTCTCGGTTGAACTTTTCCTTAATAAATGCCCTTTAACGGTCAAATCATCTGCATTTCTCCTGGGCGGTGCGTCAAAATGCAGCTGATTCGACGGTTGTTCCAGGAGTTCCGAAGCGAGACAAAGGTGGCGCTATATGGCAAGCCAAGTGTCTCATTAATAACCACTTTTACCTATTAATGAGACACTTGGATTGCCGTATAGTCGAGGGCCCTCTAGTGGCTGAAAATGGTATTGTTCAATATTTTCCATGTTCGGTTGAATGAAATCGTCAGATCTCAGCCAAAAATTGGGTTATAAATATGGAGACAAAACATAAATATGTTGCTTTGGTGTATAAGTCGCAAGGCATGCTTATACAAAAAAAAACTGACTTAGACACTGGAAAATATGATACTGTTGTTCCTCCTAAATATTTATCATCATTAGCGGAGTATTACCGTAATTTCCGCATACATGTCACTCCACCCTATAAATCGCATCAGTCCATATTTGTCTAATAAAGTGGAAAAATCCATAAATGTGGCGCTTCGTCGTATACGTCGCATCTTTGTGTCACCGCTGACGCGTCACGTTTGTTTTACGAGTCACCGCTAACAACCCGGAAATGTGGGCCGAACCCAGAAACGTGGGCCGGTGTTGTGCCAAAAACCGATGAGCTGCCAAAAAAACAGCCGCGGGAGCGTGCACCGGAGGACTATAACAAGAATTTAACAAGATTAACGCTTAAAAACAATTATTTGTTTGCTTGAAATTATATTAAATGTGTGTATCAATCTAACATTTGCTTATTAAATGCGCTTTGATGGTCAAATTAGCTGCATTTCGCTGGAGAGGTGCAACTGGTTTGACAGTTCCAAGCAGTGAGCAGAACAAAGGTGGGGTGTCTATGGCAGGCTGATTGAGTCATTAATAGCTGGTGAAGATTCTTAGTCATCCAGGACATGGTAAATTCAAGAAGAAGAAAAAACAAGAAAGTATAATAAATAAAGTCCAGTTGTTTTTGTCTAGAACTTTTTTGAATTTGTCATAATTGCCACGTTGACCTATTGCATGATAAAACAGCATGCCATACAACTTACTACTCTGCTGCCATCAAGTGGCTGAAAGTGGTACTGCTCAAAAAAATTAAGTCAGAATAAATGAAAATGGTCATATCTCTACCAAAACATGGTTTATAAATATGGGAAAAAAATCCAAAAATATGTTGCTTTGGCCTATAATTTAATATAATTTAATTTATATTTAATATTATAAATATAATTTATATTTATTTAAATATATTTATTATAAAATATATTTATTTATAAATATAATTCATATTTATATTTTAATTTAATTTCCCTCTGGGATTAATAAAGTGTTTTTGAATTGAAAATGAATTGAATAAGCCGCAGGGCATGTAAATTATGCAAAAAACTGCGACTTACAGGCCGAAAAGAACGGTAGTAATTACATGAGTTACATCTAAACTGCAACGGTTCTGTATTTTATGACACTAACAGCAGTGAGTTTCCTCCTTTTTAAGAAGTTTAAATAATTTATTTCTGACTCGTTTCAGTTTGTGTTTGAAGCAGCGTGAAGAAGAGGAGGACGACGGCTCTTCCGACCCTTCGCCTTGTGCCTCACACGGTTTGTTTTCTGGTCTCACCTGGAGGGTTTCGTGTTCATCGTTTTGTTATTTCAGGTCGTTTCTCAGCTGACCGTCTTCACTCTCATCAGCTCGGTGTTCTTCGGCCTCCCGGGGAAATCGGAGCACGCAGGAGGATCACTGGCCGCTGCGCTGAAGACGTTTTCCAGGAACTTCCTCTGCGTCTTCTTACTGGTTGAACAGTCCTTCCTGCTCTCCTGCAGGTATCATGATGTTTCCTTTGGCACTGGTTTGTCGACAGCCTGTGAAGCCGTCTTGTCCCAGGCAGACTTTCACTTCCTGTCAATCTGTTGGAACTTTTCTACTTTTTAAAGTTCCTTCAACTTTATTTGCAGCGTGAGTTTGTGTCAGCGTCAATAGAAATGGCTGCATTCTCACCTTTAAATTACAAAATGCTCTCAACTAAATTTTGCATGAAACATTTTTACTTAAGGATCTTTGGTTATGTAACTGGTTTAGTTTCCACTCAGACAGTCATAAATTAACTAAACTGCTGACTCATAGACATTAAAGTGTGACTGTTTAACCGCTCCTCATGGTTACCGAAGCTGAACTTTATCTTGTTAAAGAAAATGATTCTTTTAATAAAATAACCACATGATATTATATTAAGATGGTAACCAGGTTAACAAGACTGTTAAAGTTCAGATCTGTTCTGTTGAACAAAGTGATTCTGCGCAGCTGAAATGTGAAAATGAATCCACAGTGCGTGAATTCAAGTTTATTTCTATAGCTCCAAGTCCCAACAGAAGTCGTCTTAGGACACTGCACATTCACATACATAAAAAAGCCAATTAGTAAAAGTTCTCTGTCTATAGAAGCAGCAGATTGTGTTGAATCTTCTCTCATCCTGAGCAAACACAAAGGAGACTGTGGAAAGAAAAAACTCCCTTTGAATAGGAAGAAACCTCCTGCAGAACCAGGCTCAGGACCCGTGGCCATCTGCTTTGACCAGCTGGGTTTGAGAGGACAGGAAGTAGAAACAGACACAGAATGGCAGGTTCAGGTTTACTTACTATAGGAGGAAAGACAACAAACAAGATCATTACAAATACAAACAGTAGAACAAGTAAAGACAGCAGCAGAGTGAGGAACTGTCCATTTGTCCTCCAGCATTTTAAGCCTATAGCAGCATAACTAAGGGATAGCTAAAAAAAAAAAGCCAACCCCAGCTATAGGATTTATCAAAAGGGAAAATCTTAAGCACAGTCTAAATAAAAAGTAGACAATGTGTCAGCTTCACAATAACTGAAAGATCTTCTTCCCATTCTGCTTTTGGAAACTCTAGGAACCACAAGAAAACCTGCAGTCTGAAGTGCTCTGTTGGAAAAACATGGAACAATAAGACCTGTAATGTAAGATGGAGCTAGGTTGTTGAGTGCTTTGTAGGTTACAAGTAAGATTTTGAATTCAATTCTGAATTTGACAGGGAGCCAATGGAGAGAAGCTAAAACTGGAGAGATGTGATCTCTCCTATAAACTCATTAAAACTCTGGCAGCAGCTTTTTGGATTAACCGAAGACTTTTTAAATCAAAGTCCAGTTTTAGAAGGACAAATAAAATAACAGATTTAGCACCAAAGTTCATGCTCAATAATCCAAGTAAAAATCCAACGATGTTCACTGTTACTTTTTTTTCTTTCTTTGTTTTTTAAGCCGTTTCGTCCTTCATCCTAAGGACTTCTTCAATCTGAGGAGCCACCAACAAACTGAGTCCCACAAACGGCACACTCCCATAGTGGGAAAAAACCAGTTGCAGGTGATAAGATGGCCTCCAGGGCCCGCCCTCTCCCCCGTCGACTCTTCTGACGCAGCCACGCCAAAGTGCCAAAAACTACCCCCTATAAAGAATGTTAGGAAACTTGGTTCATCCACCTTTAATGTAACTTAAACAACAAATTATTCAATTTCTGTTTTAATACATTAATTTGAGGAAAAAGTGATTTGAATATATTTAGTTTTCATAAATACAGTTAAAGACTACAAGTATAATACAGAATATAATGCAAATACAGGGAGTAGTAGTATGAATATGTGATAATATAGACTGTTTTGAATAAATATGAGCGCATTTTTAATAATTTGACATATTTTATAAACAGTAATAAAGAGAAAAAGAAAAATTAAACGAGCAAAAGCCAACAAAACCAATCGGATGTTTTTCTGCTCCTCAGAGAACAGCTGCAGACACGCCTTAATATCAGCCAATATAAATTAAATTAATGTTATATGGAAGGTACTGTATGAAGGTATGGAATGTTAAAAACCAAAGGAGAATTGTTCATATTTTACCGAGTTTACAGATTTATAAATAAATTCCGACGACTTTCAGCTGTTTCTGCTTCTAACGCACAAAAATATCCTCAACTTATTATTTGAGCAAGCTGAAAGCAATGCTGAGTAGGCTAAACATAATCTACTTGATATTTATGTTTATATTAATGTTGTGGAGGGAGCTAAGTTTTTTTGTTAATTTTATGGATTTCTGTAACGTTTTTCCGCAGACTGATAAAAACCATGAAAATTTAATGTCTAAAAATGTCCACAAGTCAGAATATAGAGAAGAATTCCTTGCTGAGCTTTCAAAGTAAGATCCTGTGAAACTGTTATGACTAGTCAGTATCTTACCTGTTGTAGATAGCTCTTGGAACAGCCTGTTTGGAGAAAAATAAATTTATTCTGACAGAACTGATGAGCTAACGGCTTGTATGAGTGGAACCAACACCAGAGGTGGTTACATACAAAACATACAAAAAAAAAAATTACATACAATACAAAACACTAAAATAATAATCTTAAATATGGACATTCAGCATGTGTTGACAAATTCACATCAACTAAGACCAAATAATTTCCATTTGCAAAATTAATTAATTCTAATCCACAGTTTATTTAAAAGTACACAACCTCAAAAAAATTGAATTAAAATAAATGTTTTTCACGTATTTGCTTACTGAAAAAAACTCAACAATAACGGGTCGAACCACCTTTATCATGTTAAAAACTGGACCTGCAGATGATCCAGAAAGCTGGACGGACGCACTTTGACCGATCGGAGACTGTAATTCTCCACCGATTAATTTTTCTCCCTCCTCGGTCCTTCGTAACAAACAAAACCCAGAAACCAGACTGACTGCACGAAGTGTGGTCCACTTGTGGAAAACTGGGAGTTGAACGCCACTGTACCACTGAACTTTGGTGATTAGTTATCGTCAAGGACTAATAGATAATACGCCCCAAAACAAGATATTGAATAAATGCACAAACACCCTGCCATAAACTGCAATGTTTTCCTGCACCTTTGATCGTGAAGGTTTTAAATAAACCAACATCTGCTGCTTTCTGTCAAATAGTAACAAGGCCGGGGGAATGGGGGTGCTGCGGGTGCTACAGCACCCCTTGGGGAAGCTGAAGATGATGTAGGCTGTGTCTAATACGTCCCATTAGAGCTTCATGTTTAAATTCTAACAATATTTATGTAACCGGTCCCTCTCTGCGTTGTGCTGGTTACTTGAATAATTAGGCCGTGACACGGTTTATCTTGGGTGCGGCTGATTTCCCCGTTTTATTCTGACGAATAAAACAAACGACAGTCAACCACGCTGCAGGCTGCCCACTCCAGTCCTCTCCCGTAGGACACGTGTACCAAAGGGGAGGGTGAAAGAGGCCGCAAACTGTTTAACAAAACACTTCCAAGAAGAAGAAATAAAAAAAGGAGGCGGGGCTCCCGATCTTAAAGTCACGGTGGTTCTTAAAAGTATTTACAAAGTATACGAACAATCCGAGTAACACAAGACATTTTGTGCAGTTGTAACAAAATATAAATACAACCCGGTTACATTTAGAAAGTGATGAATGTTATAAATGTGGTGAATAAACAACCCTTCTAGCAGCACCACTGTTTGAAACGCGAGATAAGTAAAAGTTTAATTCTTTTGTTTTTTCCCAGTAAAGAAAACTAAAACTAAGGTTTTGAGGGGGAAGAGTTCAGGAAGCTCACGTTGTTTTTGTCTGTTTTGTCCCATGGTGCGTGTTTCTTTTTACATAATCTCTGTGAACTTGACCTTCTAACATGCACTTGAACGCATCACAGCAGCACCACCCCAGTGCCGTATAAGGAGCAGCAGGAGGTGGTTGGTTCTTAGGACACCCCCCCTTAACCCCACACCCCTCTGGTCTACGTCAGGTCCAGCATGTAACTCATTTTCCAGAGCCTGTCAGGACCCGGTCTGGACTGCAGCAGGAAGAGGGTCGGTTATGGACTCCTGTGGGAAAGCAGCGGTCTCACAGACTGACTCGGAGAAGGTGGATCAGAAGCCAGATCAGGACTCCACTGGGGGCTGGGGGTCCTGCCTGAAGAGAGTCTGGGGGGTCGTCCCGCAGAAGTACCGCAATGAGCTGGAGCAGCTTTTTAAACTGGCAGGCCCCGTGGTGAGTCCAGACCGGGTTTTCATGGGACGGCCTGTCCCTTTAAGCCCAGAAATCACAAAATAATTCAGTTTTTTTTTTTTTTTTTTATCAAACCTTTCAGGATCATTTGTGTCTGAGATGGAATAAAACTTTGGCTCAGTTTGCATCCTCGCTTTATTAAAATAAAGTTAATTTTATTATAAATTATGTGGTTTATTCTGAGACGGTCTGCGTGCAGACGTGTGCAAAATCCAGCTGATAATTTGTCCCAATCTGAAAAATAAAGTCAATCAGGAGACACTCTGTGACACTTCAGTGGATTATGGGTTATAGTTCATCCAAATGAGACTTTATCTTTGTTTATTCTAACGTGTGTGCGTGTGTGCGTGTGTGTGTGTGTGTGTGTGTGTTCAAAATTTAATTTGCAAGTTTTGTCCAAAATGGCTACAACTTTGTCATTTCAAGGTTCAAGTTTCTTTGTCATTCGCATCACATGTGGTACATGAGGTGGAAGGAAATTGTGTACTCAAGGTCCTAGTTACACACAAAAATAGCAAAAATATAAAGTATAAAAATAAACTAAGGGTTTAAGACGTACAATAAACAATAATAACACAATATACCGTATTTTTCTAACTATAAGACGCATTAAATGAAACTAAAACATTTTAGAATTTTGAGAGCTGGGTCCCATATAAAATCAGTTAGAGGTCAATAAGCACAACCAGAATTAATACATAAGGCGCACCGGATTATAAGAATCACTGATGATTTTTTTTTTGGAGAAAATTAAAGGATTTTAAGTGCGCCTTATAATCCAAAAAATACGGTAATATGTTTTAAACAGCAGCATGGACATGAGTCTGTTGTGAGTAGGTGGGTATGAATATAGCAGCTTATGGGTAAGAAATCAGCAGCATGGATAATCAGCAGCAGCATCATAAGATGGTCTTACTTTGTAGTTTCAAACGTGGTGGTGGGCGATATCCTCCAGTGAATGCAAGCTCTTTAATTGTAGTCGTTTGTGGAAGTTTCTGTAAAGTTTTACTAAGTTCGCGTCGTTTAAGTTGGGGTTTACGGTTTGTTTCTCCTGAATATTCAGTTCACATTAAGGCTGACAGCCTGTGAAATTAGCCATCATCTCAATATGAGGCGAGATTAAAATAAAAACTGCAATCCCAGCACAGATGGACCACCTGATCACCTTGTGTTGTCTCAAGAAAAACAGCAATAAAGTGGCTTAAGCACACAGGATGCTGGGATGTAACTGGGTTGGATCAGACCTTAAATGTGAATCTGTGTGAGCAGCTGGTCGGAATCAGAGGATTAAAGACAAACTGCAGCCTCATTAACTCTTAATCCCATTGAAGTGTTCAGAGGAATCACCCAAAAAGTCATTGTATGCCGTTCATTTTGAGATATTTGTTGAACTAAATGAAACCTGCTGTGGTTTGATAGTTTCAGTGATGCAGGTTTTGTTGATAATAAAGATCATTATTGTTTCTTACTCCAGGTCATTTCCCAGATGATGATCTTCATGATCAGTTTTGTCAGCACGGTGTTCTGCGGTCACCTGGGAAAAACCGAACTGGCAGGAGTAACGCTTTCCATAGCAGTGAGGAGACTTACTGGATTTTTTTCTGCTTGCGTCTCGTTTTTCCAGGGATGTTTGTCCGTTTTAACCTTTGTCTTTGTTCTCTCTGCAGGTGGTCAACGTCACCGGCATCTCCATCGGCACTGGTTTGTCGTTAACTTGTGACACTCTCATATCTCAGGTACTGCCCTCTTTAAAGGTTCCTTCACTTTTTATTGTGTGAATACTTATTAAGCATTCACACTGTTGTGATCCTGTTTTATATTTCTTATTATTAATATCCCTACTCCGTATGTTTTTTGGCATCTCGTCCCGCAGTTTTCAAGCCATTTCAACAAGTCATGTATCAAAACTTTCAGCTCTTTCAGGTCCTGCGATGACTTTTGGTATTGGTGCAACTTTAGCTTTTTGAAATATTCAGCCTTTTCAACCATTTTTTATCTCAGAGAAAATGAATTGAGCTCATTTTACATCCTTCAAATATTTAGATCTGTTTACAACCTTTTACTGCTCCTTTCACATTTTGTTCTGCTTCAGCTTCTTTCAGCTTTCTTGTGCAAATTTAAAAAAAATTTCGGCTCATTCAGGTTTTTTTTTCCCTAGCTGTTTTGTGCTCCTTTCAGCTTTTTTCTGCAAGTTCAGCTTTTTCTGCTATTTTAGCTACTATTTAGCTGTTTTATGCTAATTCTAGCTTTTTCAGCTACTGGTAAATCCACATTTTTTGCACTTGTTTCAACATTTTTCAGTCTAATTTAGCAAAAATGTGCTCTCACTTCCTTCTGGTAATTTAAGCTTTGTTCTGCTTTTTTAGCTACTATTTGGCTGTTTTTGGCACATTTCTGCTTCTTTCAGCCTGATTGGGCAAAACTGTGCTCTCTCCACTTCCTTCTGCTTATTTAAGCTTCTTTCTGCTTTTTTAGCTATTATTCAGCTGTTGTTGGTTTTTTTTCCATATTTTTTCAGATAATTTCCACTTTTTTCTGCTCATTTCTGCTTCTTTCATCCTAATTGGGCAAAATTGTGCTTTCTACACTTCTTTCTAGTAGTTTAAGCTTCTTTCTACCGTTTCTGCTACTTTTCAGCTATTTCTTGCTAATTTCTGCCCTTTTTTTTTTAGCTAATTCCCCTTTATTGCTCATTTCTGCTTATTTAAACCTAATTCAGCAAATGTGTTATTTCTGCTTTCTTCTGCTAACTTTGGCTTGTTCTATTTCAGCTACATTTCAGCATGTTTTTAGCTAACTTCAGCTGTTTTTCAGCAAGTTCTTCAGCAATAAGCATTCACACTGCATTTTCACAGTAAATGCAGTTTCTCTAGTTTATCTAACGAAGACGATCTGAGCTGGTCCTGCTGAGTTCTCTGGTTTGGTTGAAAACAGTTCACAGAACGCCCTCACATCACATTAGTCGTGTTTGTGTACTCCGAGTTCTGGGTTCTTGGTTTGGTTTGGCACTAAACCGTTCAGTGTCTCCTTGTTTCATGCAGACCTATGGGAGCGGTAATCTGAAGCGAGTGGGTGTGATCCTCCAGAGGGGGGTTCTGATTCTGCTGCTGGCCTGTTTCCCCTGCTGGGCCATTCTCATCAACACAGAACCTCTGCTGCTCGCTGTCAAACAAAGTCCAGAGGTTGCCAGGTCAGCGCTCTGCCGAGCCTGAGTCAGCAGGACTGAAACTGCGTCGCGTGACTAACCACCATTTGTTTGTCGTGGTTTCACATGTTGGTTTTGTTAATTAACAAAAGAAAAGGAACAGAGTCCGAGTGTCTAACGTTTTGTTTGTTTGTTCACATGAAGGCTCTCCCAGCTGTACGTGAACATCTTCATGCCTGCTCTGCCGGTGAGTTTCACGGTTCTGCAGCTGTGCAAGTTAAAGCTTTTGTGTGATCCATGAGTGCTCAGGGCATGTGTTGGGGATGACTCTCAGCTACCACAGACTTTAACAACTATAATGTCTATACTTTAGCAGTTTTACAGACATTGAGCTAAAATCTGATGTTACTTAAGCTGACTGTCGTTCACAAAACACACACCAAGTTTTAAGGATTCATGCAACATCATGCTGCATGAGATCTTCGTCGTTTTTAAGTTTAGCTTCATCATTTCTCCGCAGAAGATGGTTTCAGTCTGGTGGGTGAAAAACATCCCTTTATCAGAATATTTTCATTGCTGTAACATTTACAGCAGCATTAATCCTTACACCGGTAAAAGATGTATAAAAGGTACAAAAAGATTAAAAGATAAAGAGAAAACTATTTACAAAATTAAAGAACAGCCATACGACACAGCACACTATTGCACAATAATTATTGCACATGGTTATTGCACATACAGAGATGCTATGTGGCATTTCCAACCTTAAGGAAGGCAAGATCTTTAATTGTTGTTACTAAAAATTAGCTTATTAACCCATAAAAAAGATACAAATCTTAAATAATTGGCAGTTTTTGTGAATCTATAATTGTTTTTATTTTACAAGTTTTTGTTCAGGTTTATGGTTCTGGTCAATTTATGGTACTTGTACTCCTGGACCTTACCGCTGCTTTTGATACTGTTGACCACGGTATCCTTATATCACGGTTGGAACACTGGATTGGGATTACAGGTGCAGCATTAGAATGGTTCAGTTTGTACCTAAGTGACGGGGGTTTCTGTGTTAAGGTTGGAAATAGTGTATCCGTGTCAGTGCCTCTTTCCTGTGGAGTTCCACAGAGCTCGATTCTTGGACCCCTTTTATTTTCACTCTATCTGCTGCCTTTGGGATCTATCCTGAGGAAACTTGGCCTTTTATTTCATTGTTATGCTGATGATTGTCAGATTTATATTCCCTTGAAACCCAATAGTTCCTGCTCCATTTGCCCTCTGTTAATATGTCTTGTTGACATAAAGGCATGGATGGCTTCAATTTTTTTTAAGTTTTAACAATCAGAAACTGAAGTCATTGTGTTTAGCCCTAGCTCTACCGATGTCTCTGATCCTGTAAATCTTGACTCTTAAGCCATATCTTAAGCAGTCTGTTATGAATTTCTGGATGGTTTTAGACTTTGACTTTAATAAAGTAAACTAAAGTGCTATGTGTTGTCATCGTTGTATGTTCCCATACAATAGTGAAATTGGTTTTCTACATTTAACCCATCACACCTGGGATGCACCCAGGTGGTGCAGTGGGCAGCTATGCAAGTGCCCGGGGAGCAATTAGAGATTAGGTGTCCTGCTCAGAGACACCGCGACATGTGGGAATGGCTGGCGATCAAAGCTGGGACTTTCGGGTCTTGAGTTTAAGTTTAAGTTTAATAAACAGATCAACTATGTTTTACAAAAAAGTGTCTTCCAGTTAAGGCAGATGGCTAAGCTTAAGTCAGTGTTGACCAGATCTGACCATGAAAAAATAGTCCATGCATTTATTACAACACAGCTGGCCTACTGTAGCATGCTTTATGTTGGGGTCAGGCAGGTCTCCCTTTCACGTCTCCAGCTCGTCCAAAATGCTGCAACTTGGCTCTTAACAGGAACTCGTAGGATTGAGCACATTTCACCATTTTATATTCATACGAATATTCCAGATGGGCGTCGGGGGAGGATGCCGAGCCAGAGGACGAGCTCTGGCTTATTCCTGTCTCGCATTCTCACCACCGCCGCAGGAGTGGCAAAAAGCGGACCTGGAACCAGTCCACCATGTTTCCACCAGCACCCCCGGTGCACTCAGCTGCTCACACTCGGTCCGGCGAGGCTGAGTTTCCTGGAGTCGACTCCGGTGCTTCGGTGAGGGCTGGTCCCGACGCCTCACCGCCCAGGATCCCGGTGGAGGTCGGACCCAACACCTCATCTCCTGCACAGAGCCCCAGAAAGAACTAGTCCCATCACCTCTGAGCCCTGTCCTTCGCCCTGCTCTCCACCTGCGCAGCCTGTGAAACCGTGGAGAATTTCAGAGTGAGAGGGGCAGTCTGGCCCCCACTTGCCGACAGAGCGGACGAAGTAGGGGCCAACGCAGAGGACATTTAGAGCAGCTGTTGTCTAATCACTCAGCCTTTCCTACTCAGCTCGGTGAGGCTGAGTTTCACGAACTTCCAACCAATACTTCTGTGAGGGTTTGTCCCAAAGCCTCGCCTCCCAAGACTCCGGTGATGGATCCGGCACCCCTCTAACGGAGTTGGCTCCCTGGGCGTGTCAGAATTGATTTTAAGATCCTCATATTGACGTTTAAGTGGATTAACGGCCTTGCACCTTCATATCTCTCTGACCTACTTCAACCTTGTGATCCTTTTCGGGCGCTGAGATCATCTGATCAGCTGCATTCGGCTGAAGCTCAGAGGAGATCGAGCTTTTTCAGTCATTGGCCCTAAACTTTGGAACAATCTGCCCCCGAACATTAGACAGGCCACTTCACTTCCCGTTTTTAAATCTCTCCTAAAAACACACCTGTTTTCACTGATTTCATTGTTCCTTGTTATTTTTTATGCTTTTTTTAATTACATCTTGTTGTTTTAATTTACTGCCTTGATCTTATCGTTAAGCACGTTGGGAACAGCTGCTGTTTTTAAATGTGCTCTATAAATAAATTTGACTTGACTTTATGTGTTCAAAGCTTTTCTTCTTTACTTTAATAACTTGACTTCCAGATTTACCTCTAATCCGAGTCTGCCAAGCCTAAAAAGGCTAATTAGGGAATTATTAAAAATGTTGTTGAGGTTAAAGCTTCAAATCTATTACAGCCGTCTTGTTATTTAACTGGTGATCTCACTCTTCTTCTTCACATCAAAGTGACGTTTATGCCTCAATCTGTTCTCCTTCAGGCGGCTTTTATGTACCAGCTGCAGGGGCGCTATCTCCAGAACCAGGTAGAAGTTTCTAACATGCACTCACACATGCCCACGTTTATTAAAACTGCATCTAAAACCATGTGATGGTGTTTACAGGGAATTATATGGCCTCAGGTTATAACCGGAGCGATTGGAAACATCCTCAATGCGATAATCAACTACGTCTTCCTGTATCTTCTGGAACTGGGTGTGGCGTAAGTTTCCATCATCCGAGCTGAATATCTGACAGAAACTTTAAGTCTATCAACAGGAATAGTTGTGCTTTTGCTTTGCTTGCATTAAATGTCTCTCTCAGCATGTCGTTTGTGTTTAACTGTGCTCTATAGTGGTGATAAAACGCTCGTTTATTTCACATTTACTGCCATTTATATTATATTATAACTGTAGACACAAACTGAATCTAGTTCGATAGCTCAAACACTTATCCTGGTAATAAAAAATGCTGATGTTATAATTAGGTGGTTTCTCCTAAATCTTCTGTTTTCATCTTGCAGTGGGTCGGCGGCAGCCAACGCCATCTCTCAGTATGTTCTGGCTGTGGTCCTGTTTGTTTACATTTGTCTGAGGGGTCTTCATAAAGCCACGTGGGGAGGTCAGTTGTTCAGAAGCTCCTGTCGTCTCCCACCGTCGCTCACCAGCTGTCCCGTGTGGAATGATCGACATAACCGGACGCTCTGCAACTGTTTAATGTGACGTAGACGAGAGGTTAAATGGGATGGCTTGGTTGTCGGGCAGCACGGTGGCGCCGTTGATAGAGCTGCTGCCTCTCGGCGAGCAGGTTAACCTGGTTCAAACCCCTTTCTGGGTGTAGTTTGCATGTTTTCTCCATGCGTTGGTTTTCTCCGGGTACTCTTGTCTTCATCCCACAGACCAAAGGCTAATTGGTAACTAAAATGTCCCTAGGTGAGAGTGAGAGTGTGAATGGTTGTTTGTCTCGTTATATGTGTCCCTGTGATGGACTGGAGACCTGTCCAGGGTGTCCCCCGCCTCTTGCACAGTGATTGCTGGACATCAGTGACCCCAGCGACCCAAAAAGGAAGAAGCGGGTAAAGATAATGGATGGATGGTTTGGTTGTCTTGAAGTATGATTGCACAGAGCGGTCAGTATCTTACCTGCAGTAGAGAGTAGCCCGGGTGATTTTGAGATCCTGCTGGAGTCGAGCAGCTCCTCCGAGCAGGAACCATCTAAGAGCAAATTTCTACCTAAAACAACTCCAATTCATCCCTTTGCTAGACATTTAAACACTTTATTTTCATTTATTTTGCGTTATCTCTTCTCCATGAGAAGTTTGTTAATATTGTTGCCGTTGTCTTATTAACTGCATTTAAGGTGGCTGTTAAAACTATCCTACCGCTCCGACAGAGGTTGCTTTGAAAAATATCCGATGTTCATCCAGTTTAATTGCACGTGTGAACGTGGCCTGGGTGATTTGGCTTCATAAAAAACAAATCTGGATCAATCTGGATCTGGATTTGGCTGCGGTGTGAACACAACACACAGTCCTCTGAACTGTTTGGTCTGACTTGTAAATGCCCCTGACCCACAGGTTGGTCCCTCGACTGCCTCCAGGAGTGGGGGCCGTTCGTCCAGCTCGCTATCCCCAGCATGCTGATGCTTTGTCTGGAGTGGTGGATGTTTGAGGTGGGGGGGTTCCTGGCCGGACTGATCAGCGAGGTGGAGCTGGGAGCACACGCCATCATATACGAGCTGGCTGTTGTAGCTTACATGGTAACGCTTCGTTCGCATTAAGCTTCTCTGCCGCAGCGCTGATGAACTTTGGACTTTCTCGTACATTGTTGTTATTTTCAATAGTTTCCTCTGGGATTTTCTGCTGCTGCCAGTGTTCGGGTCGGGAACGCTCTGGGTGCAGGAAATGTGGAGCAGGCCAAGCTGTCCTGCAAGGTTCCCATCTTCTGCACATGTAAGAACGGCACGCGCCAACGTGTTCGGACCACGTTTATACGTCGTCTAATCACCAATGTCTTTTTTTTTTTTTCTGCTGAAAGGTGAAAAATAATGTTCATGCCTTTTGTTTATGTTTCTGTTAGCGAAATATCTCGTCAACCACTGGACAAATTTTAATTAAGCTTTCAGAAAGTAATAACTGGATGGACATCCACAACTGATTAATGTTTTGAGACGGTTCAGTTCAAGATGGCTGCCACAGCTAACTGACTTCAGCATAAAATGTCCATAACACTGTGAGAACAGAATCCAGGAACTCTTATTTTGACAGGGTGTGTTCCAGTAACTGTTTGCTTGGATTCTGTAACCCTCAGGCTTACTAATTATAATGTTATGAACAAATTTCACTGCATTAAACAAAAGAAACCTATATTGGATAATCTGAAAATAATTACATAAGCACTCATTTTAAACACAACAGCCACTTACGAGCTTCCTAATATCACATAAGAGCTGATCTTGTGGTTAGCACTGTTGCCTCAGAGCAAGAAGGTTCTGGGTTCAATCCCCGGTTGGACCTGGAGTCTTTCTGTGTGGAGTTTGCATGTTCTTCTCGTGCTTGCGTGGATGTTCTCCGGGTACTCCAGTTTCCTCCCACAGACCAAAAACCTGCATGTTAGGCTGCCTTCAGGTCCAGGCCTCCCTTGCAAAAGAGATCTGTGATCTCAGTGGTATTTGCCTGATTAAATAAAGGTAAATAAAATAATCCTTCAAATAAGCATTTCTGCTTCAACTCTTAAAAAAATCTCCGCCCCTCAAAAGCCATGGGCAATTTAACTAAAAACACAAAAATATAATTAAACAGCACAACTAAAGTGCAAATCAGTTTTACAGTTAAAGTGGGGCACTAATAAAATTTTGATTATTTATTAAAAATACGAGAGACATGTTTAATAGGTAACACGTTATGTACATCGCGTATCAAAACAACGGCGCCAATTTGTCAAGATAACAGCAATCAAAATGTTGAAAAGACGGTCCAGTTTATTTTAATTTTTTTAAAGTCTTCTCATTGTACAACTAGCTGAGAATTGAAGCACATGAAGGCAGTGGCAATGGAGATACTCAACATGGGGAGGGGTGGAGTGGGGGCTAGGTTGCTTAAGAGAAGCGGAGCTTGCTCTATGGACACAAGGGGAGCTGTTGGTCAGGCTACTTCTTGTTGCTCTCTAAAATAGTTATTGAATCAAGTGTTTATAAATGTAGGTAAACGTAGATGTTTAACATGTTCAAATATACCATAATGTAGGAAATAACATTTTCTTTATTCAACATTTTCTGGGGGAGGACCCTTATAAGCCCCCACCCCCTCCCTGCTATTTGTATTCCAGCATCGTTTGGTTTACAAATTAAGGACTAAGAGTCAGCCACAGCAGAGTGTATGATCGATGAAATCAGGAATAACTTTATTTTCAAGGTTACTTGTTAGTGAAGTTGGGTCTTGTTTGTTTTGAATTTCCAATAAAATCTAAAAAAGTTAAATCTGGTCCTCTGGACATTCAAAAAACAAAACAAAGCAAAACAAAAAAATGTAGAAACGTTTCGTCTTTCATCCGAGAGACTTCCTCAGTCTGAGGTGCTGTATTCAGCTCAGTCTCTTAAATAGCACCTTCTCAGAGTGGATCAACCAGTTTTGCTGCTGACAACCAAAACCAGCTGCTCACATGCTCAAGAAGGACCATCAGCCTAACAATGGGTCATTAGCACCTGATGGCTGTTTACTGTTCACAGAGGGCTGAGTGATACTAGCAATCACAGCATTGTAAGAGGGGGACAGTTGAACCCGGAGGCCTCCACCCCTGTTTAATGATGGACGATTTCTTTTCACAAAGATGGCCTCCTTTACTCCTCTCTCAAACCATCGTTCCTCTCTGTCCAGGATGTGAACATCTTCATCCCTGAAAGAGTGACCGCTGGCCTGGAGATGAGTGTGGACCGCAGAGTCCTGGCCTGATGATGTTGCTCTTCTGTGCTGGGCCATCCTTTTGGCCAGTGGCTGTTTTGTTTCCCTGATTTAAGACTGATCACCCTCCTCACACTGAACAGCATACACAATATTACTGTGTTTGTGCCGGGGGACTGAATATTTGGGATGAACCAGTCTTTGCCGTAATGTATTTTGGGGTTTAAAAGCCACTGGGACGTTATGTTTAGAAAATAAACGTCTCATTTTCTCTGATACTCCTTCAACATACAGAATGACCACTGGTCTGGGTTCCTCCTTTTCATCTGATGGCTGACTGGAGTCAGCCATCAGGAGTGTTTGAGTTTTTTCTTTGCTTAACTGGGCCTTCCTGAAACCAGAGAAGAAACCCAAACAGGACTCCAGTAAACAGCCACTGGCCAAAAGGATGGCCCAGCACAGAAGAGCAACATCATCAGGCCAGGACTCTGAGGTCTACACTCATCTCCAGGCCAGCGGTCACTCTTTCAGGGATGAAGATGTTCACATCCTGGATAGAGAGGAACGATGGTTTGAGAGAGGAGTAAAGGAGGCCATCTTTGTGAAAAGAAACCGTCCATCATTAAACAGGGGTGGAGCCTCCGGGTTCAACTGTCCCCCTCTTACAATGCTGTGATTGCTAGTATCACTCAACCCCCTGTGAATAGTAAACAGCCATCAGTGTGCTAATGATCCATTGTTAGGCTGATGGTCCTTCTTGAGCATGTGATCAGCTGTTTTTGGTTGTCAGCAGCAAACTGGTTGATCCACTCTGAGAAGGTGCTATTTAAGAGACTGAGCTGAAAACAGCTCCTCAGACTGAGGAAGTCTCTCGGATGAGAGACGAAAAGTTTGTACTTTTTTTTTTTATTTGCTTTGTTTTGTTTTTTGAATGTCCAGAGGACCAGATTTAACTTTTTTAGATTGTTCTACCTGGATTATTGAGCATGTATCAGGATATCCAATAAAATGTCACATTTATCTCCACAAACGGAACATTTAATCATTCTTAAAAACAAGCGACTGTTTTCTGTTTGGCATCGTATCGGAGTAACTCTGAGGTGATGATCAATGTGACCCAGACTACTTCCTGAGTTCATGTTGACCCAAAACTATTTAGTGCTGCTGCTTTATAAAACTTGTTCCTCCTGTTTCTGCAGAAATAAATGTTATAGATATTGACAGAGTTTAGCAACATATAGAAATAATTCACTTAAATTATTATTTTTCTTTAAATCTATTCTTTGCAGCTTCAAAATTTACGTTTTATAGCAATATTTTCTTATTTTCTTGTGTTTTCAAGTGCTGCTGAACCTTAAATAAGTTTGATTTTCTGGAAAGCTGTGTTGTTTTAGTCTCTGCTTTGTCCCTTTTTGTTGCAGTCATAATTCCCTGTTTTGTTGGGGCCATTTTCGGCTCTTCTCGGAACGTCGTGGGATACATTTTCACCACAGATCCGTGAGTGAAACATTAAATGAATGCCTCACTCATCTGTTGCGCAGTGTCGCTGCTCTAACAATCAAACACTAACTGTGGTCAGCGCTGACGCACGTGGATGATGTCAAAATAACACATTGAAAAACACGTTCGTTCTGTATTTTAGATTTTTCAGACGTAAAGACAGAAATTGAACTCACCGCGGCTCGTTTCGTCTGTTTTGCAGAGACATTTTGGAGAGGGTTGCAGACGTCATGATCGTGTTCGCCTTCACGCACGTTGCTGATTCTGCTGCAGTAGGTCGCGTTTCACATGTCAGACAAATACGGACTCGTCAAAATGAGACTTGACCCAGCTGATGTTTCCCACCTGCAGGGCGTCGCTGGGGGGGTTCTGAGAGGAGCAGGGAAACAGCTGATTGGAGCTCTGTGCAACCTGGTGGGCTACTACTTCATTGGTTTCCCCATTGGTGTTTCGCTCATGTTTGCTGCCAAGATGGGGATCGTGGGTGAGAGTAAACGGTCGCATGCTGCAGTTTTCACGTCGTCTTGACGTTTTGTTTGTCTTTAAAACCGTTTCGTATTTCCCCACAGGGCTTTGGACCGGACTCACGATTTGCGTGCTGATGCAGTCGATTTTCTTCATCACATTTTTGTACAAACTTGACTGGAAGAAAGCTGCGGAGGAAGTGCGTACCTGCATCTTAAGACTGATCCAATGTGCATTACTCAAAGAAATTGTGTTTTAAATGGGGTTGTGTGGCACAGGTGTAAGCAGTCAGTATCGTACCTGCAGCAGAGTGAGCTCAGGGACCGATTGAGCTAAAACAAAAACCGTTGATTACATCGTCTGTATTTTCTCAACACAACATTCTCTCTCATAAACGTGCTGAACAGGATCAGCTGATTGCAGTTCTGCCGGTTCGGTCTTTAAAAAAAACACACAAACTAATTAACCACCTGGCAGTCATTCATTCAACTCTCTTATTTTGACAGGGCGTGTACCGGTAACTGTGTGCTTGGATCTGGTAACCCTCAGGTCTATTAGTAATAAAGTTATGAACAAATTTTACTGCCTTGAACGAATTAAACTTATGCTGGACATGTAATCTGAAAATAATTGCATAAACACTCATTTTAAACATAACAGCCTTACGAGCTTCTTAATATCCCCAACGAGTTGCCCCTTCAAGTAAACATTTCTGCTTCTACCCTTAAAAAAAATTGCCGCCCCCTAAAAGTATCGTCATGTGATTAGATGATTACCGTATTTTCCACCGTACACGTCGCACCGCCCTATAAGTCGCATCAGTCCAAATGTGTCTAAGAAAGTGGAAAAAATCCATAAATACATCGCTTCACCATATTAGTTGCATCTATTATGCGTCACCGCTGACGTGTCGCGTTTGTTACGCTACCGCGGGAACAAGATTAGCACTTTAAAACAATTGTTTGTTTGCTCGAAATTATAGCAAAGGTGTGTCTCAGTCGAACTTTTCCTTATTAAATGCACTTTGACGGTCAATTCAAAAGCCGATACACGGAAGTAGGAGCATGCATGGGAGGATTCGTTGTGTATTTCTTTGAAATTTAGCAACCTCACCACCTAAAAACAGTTATTTGCTTGACTTTATAGTAAAGGTGTGTCTTAGTTGAACTTTTACTTAATAAATGCACTCCAATGGTCTAATCAGCTTCATTTTGCCGGGGTGGCGCAGCAAAATGAAGCTGATTTGATTGAAACCAATTGTGTCACTGATAGCTACTTTTACCTATTACATGACATAACGGCATGCCATACTACTCGAGTGCCATCCAGCTGTTGAAAATGGTAGTGTTCCATATTTTCAATCAGAATGAATGAAAACGGTCATATCTCAGCCAAAAATTGGTTTATAAATATGGGAAAAAATCCATTAATGCGTCGCTTCGGTGTATAAGTCGCAGGGCATGTAAATTGTGAAACAACAACAAAAAAAAACGTGATTTAGAGGGCGAAAAATACGGTAATTATATGTAAGATGTGGTTATGATAACAGCACAGCCATGCAGGACAGGAGTCTGTCTGGTGATGTTGAAACAGACGCTGCATGAGGAGCATTAAGTGTCAGGCTGCTGATGCTGCAGTGACAGCTTGTGGACAAAGTTTTTGGTACATGATCAAGCTGGGATTAATGTGGATAAAGTGATCATGTGTAAAGAGATCGTCCAGTCAAACTGCTTGAAACATTTGGAGTTCAAGTTGCTTTAGGTTGATAAAATTTACTCATCACTCATTCCTATTCTGAACGTGAGAATTTCTGCCCAATTGTCAAAACTGAGATCACTCTTGACTGCTTTCTACTGCAGGTAAGATAGTGACATCAACGCTAACCCCGCTTAAATAAACTCATTACAATGTGACTTTAACAACAGCTTTCTGTTTTTCCATCAGGCTCAGGTGAGGGCAGGTGTGCAGATCAAAAACGAGAAAGAGATGATGGAAAACACGGGTGAGTTGGAAATATGTATTGAATTGTAACGTTATATCTGCTCCCTGTAGCTTTTCTCTGCTTTCACTCTGGTCTCGACTAAAATAACAGAACATTGAATGATGCTTATATTTATTTGCGTTTTGCTCCTTTCAGCTGCCAGCTTGCCTTTTGTTACTTTTATTTTGTAGGTACTTGTTGCTACATTCATCTGTTTAGCTTGTGTTACGTTTAGCTTTGAACTAGCCTTTAGCTAATTTTAGCTTACAGCTAGGCTTTTGCATCTTTCAGGTTTTAGGTAACCTTTCGCTACTTTTAACTACCATTTTTAGCTGGATTTGGAATGTATTTATTTATTTATTTATACACTTCTAATTAGCTTTTTTTTTTTTTTTTGCTATGTCTTGCTTTTATTTAGCTTTCGGCTACTTTAAGTTAGCATTTTTCTACCTCTAGCTTTTACCTAGGGTTTTGCTTTTTTTATGTTTTTGTGTTTTTCTAGTTTTTATTTTTTCATTCGTTTTTAACAGAATAATAATAGTAATAAAATCCATCCATTCATTTTCTTTACCTGCTTCTTCCTTTTTGGGTCGTGGGGGTCACTGGTACCCGTATCCAGCTGATAACTTTAAATTCAGTTTAGTTTGGGAGGGGGATGAACTCTCTCTTTAATGTTGCACATTACTGCATCAATGTCTCAGTAATAAAACAATATATTTTTTTAAATCTCAGACTGTAATCACTGCCAGACCCCGGTCAGCTCAGGACCTACCAGTCCTGATGTGGAGGACCAAATGGACCAGAACATGCAAGTCCCAGACCAGAATAAATCCACCTCCACCACCGTGGGAGACGTGCTGTCGGTGAGACAGCTGGTTGTACGCCGAGGCCTGGCGGTGCTGCTCATGCTCCTCATCCTCACTGTGGGAATCGTCGCGTCGCACTTCCTCACCAGACTGCTGAAGTCTCAGTGATTTGAAGCTGGGACGAAAGAATCCAACTTTTTATTGGGATCAGGTTCTCCCATCTAAGGGTGACGAGGGCTGCTGAGACCCAACGGAGTTCAGTGCAGCCAGGGTGACCAAACCTAAGAATTCCAGATATTTACAGATGTTTTGATTCAAGCGTCGTGTTCTGTTCCTGTTAAATGTGTCAGGAACTTTAAGTAGGTGTCCGTCTTTATAACAGCCATAAAATGTGACGAAGGCAGGTCTTTGCTGCAGTTTAAAGTGAGCTTCGTGAAGGAGCATTTTTTTGGTGAATATCTGGATTATTACCGTATTTTTCGGACTATAGGGCGCATTAAGCGAAATAAAACGGTCAGATAAGTCAAAATTTATTCAACTCATTCGCAATAACTCAACATTGTTCAGTTGTAACACATAAAATCGGTTCGAGGTCAGTAAGCACAACCAGAATTAATACGCAAGGCACACCGGATTCTAAGGCTCATTGTTAATTTTTGAGAAAATTAAAGGATTTTAAGTGCGTCTTATAGTCCAAAAAATACGGTAATGTTATAAGGAAAGTGTCACATTCCAAAAGTGTGAAAACCAAAAAAAAAAAAAATCACAATTTTCTATTACATGGAATTAAAAAAAAAAAAATTTTGTTACTGTGAATGATGTGGGAGTAGTAGAGCAACTATATGTAAAAATCTGTGATGAAAACATTTTACACAAATCACCTTAAACTGGAATAAAAGACCCGGTTCAAACCTCAAAATTCAACAAATACAAGAGTTCAGTGTGATGCATCAAGCTGACCTGGTGATGAAATTGCAGACGCATGAGTTGCTAAACATTTTTATGTTTAAGTTGAAAACTTGACCATGTACTGTAAATATGTTGCTGGATAACTGTAAAAAGTTCTTAAACTGCCAAAGCTTTCTTTTATTAAAAATAAATCATTATGAACTTGATGGAATTATCTCATTTAAAAAGAAGATCTGGAATCAGAGTAATATTTTACTAGTGAATATGCAAGTTTGACGTCGGCAAATATAATTTAATGTTCATCCCACATCTTAATGGGTTTGAGGTGCAGAGGGACGACGTCAGAAAATATTTTTGTGGGGCAAATTGAGGATAATCTCACTACAGTTTTCAGATTAACATTAATGCTTTGGGCTGCAAGAGAATTTAGTGGAAAATCACTAAAAGATCATAAAATAATTTAATTCATCTTCTGCAATGGTTTTATCTGCGTTGTCCACTACAGGGTGGTGTGGCCTCATGAGTGTACGGTGCTTAGAAAAAGGTTTTATGGTCAATACATGTTGGCTTTTTTGATAAAATAAAAAATATATAAATAAATAAACCCAATCAGAAAGTTAAGTAATCCATTCAAATACAAATGTGTAAGATATGTGACTGCATAAATATTCACCTGTTTCAAAGTCCTAATTTAACTAAGTGAAATTATTATTAAATTAAATTCCTCAAGAACTGGACAGAATATGGAACATGTGTAAATCTACTAAGAGCGGGCCGTCCTCACAAACGGAGACCGAGCAAGAAGGAGAGCAAAGAGAAAGGCATCGAAGACGCCCGTTAACACTCTGAGGGAGTTACAAGCAGGCGAGATGGGAGAAACCGTGCATACGACCACTGTTGCCGCAGTTCTTTACCAGTCCAAATGTTGTGGGAGAGTGACAAAGAGAGCGCCACTGTTGAACTCATGTCAGATCTCTACTAGAGTCTAAACGGTTCAGTCAGGATTTATCATGAGTTTTCTTCTAACCCTACCTCAGGCAGTTGATGTATGCACAGGCTCTCCCATCATCTGCTGAAGCTCGTCATTAATGCTTCGTTGTGCGAGATGTTTCACAGTTATTACCATCGCAGCACGTCCAAGCATGACTTATCCCAACCACCTAACTACAAACGTTGACAGAACCAAGAGATCAAACAATCTTTCCACAAATTGCATATTTCATACTCCTCCTACTAACATTGGTGTGCAGTCCCGTATTTGGCCACCAGATGTCAGTAAAATGTTTTAAATAAATTAACTTTTATTTACCGAAGTCTGGGTTCAACCACACTATAAGACCAACTTTAATAACAAAAAGAAACATTAATGCATTATTGAACATGGAAACATTAATGAAATATTCATTTTCAGGCTTCTCTTGTAAACGAGTCCCCGAGAATCAATGGGACTAACCTGTATAAATAAAGGTTGAATGAAAATTGCAGCGTAATAAACATCAGAGCCAATTATTCACATTTAAGAACTTCTGAGTTCTGTTGGTGACAGATCGCCGTAGTAATTAGAGGTGCCGTGTGAGAGACAATACTAGTGTGTGTGAGAGACAATACTAGTGTGTGTGAGAGAAAGAGAGAGAATACTAGTGTGTGTGAGAGACAATACTAGTGTGTGTGAGCGAGAATACTAGTGTGTGTGAGAGAGAATACTAGTGTGTGTGAGAGAGAATACTAGTGTGTGTGAGAGAAAGAGAGAGAATACTAGTGTGTGTGAGAGACAATACTAGTGTGTGTGAGAGAGAATACTAGTGTGTGTGAGCGAGAATACTAGTGTGTGTGAGAGAGAATACTGGTGTGTGTGAGAGAGAATACTGGTGTGTGTGAGAGAAAGAGAGAGAATACTAGTGTGTGTGAGAGACAATACTAGTGTGTGTGAGAGACAATACTAGTGTGTGTGAGAGACAATACTAAAGGATAAAGAGATTTTTATTTGGGGGGGGATTATTTTCGTGTATTTTGTGGAAATGTAAAGTGATTTTGAAATATTCTTATCCAGCTCACGTTTCCCTTTTACCTTTTTAGTTTTAGCTTTATAAGTCTTTATAAACATCCTAACTGACAGGAGGAGAAGATAAATGTACATAAATAATATGTAGTGGAACAGAATCAGGTTAAAGTTTGTACTTCAGCTGTAACAGACTTTTTTTTATTTTTATCATAACGTTAAAAATGCACATGGACCAGTTTGTGCAAAACCAAAATTAATCTCTTTATCTGCTGTGATCCAAACGTACACAAATGATGCAACTCAGTTCAGACATTTAGATCAATGTTAGGGTCCAAATATGAAATTATGTTTCAGAACATTGAGATCATTGTGTCCACATGTGGACGAGTGAGGCACAAACACGGAGCTGACCTCAGATGGTGTTTTTTTATCCAAAGAGGAGATTAACTTTGTCAATTTGTTCTGTGTTGGTGGGGAAATGGACAATTATCACACAGGACACGGTTGTTTGCAGAGACTTAACTTCCTGAGACAAAGTTTATTGTTTCTATTTTAATTATAGTAACTTTGTGTCTGTCAATATAAAGATCTTGTTTCCTGGGAACAAGAAGCCATTTTTTTAAACAACGCAAGCAGCCGCACAAAGATCAGAAAGATTCATGAACAGTTGTACAAATTTTGTTACACTGACAAATACAAAACAAAGTATAACACGATGAAAAGATCATTGTGGTACTGCTAACAATATGCAAAAACGTGTGTTTTGTTATTAACTGGACTTGAGTATTTAAAGTGTGGCGGATTTTCCTATAAATTGTCTCAACACAGAAACAGGTGAAATTAAAGTTGTCTTCAAAAATGGCCTTTGAATTTATTATAATGAACGGACGCAGACGGGGTGCGTCACACAGCCTTGTTTATAACGAAAAGTTCAGTCCAGTTTTAAAGATCTCGTTCATGTGATAAGAAAGACACTGGCTCAGAAAGAAATGGTGCTGTGCTCTTTGATAACTGGTCCTGTTGTTTATGTACTCCGTTCCATTGAGATTAAACCAGTTAGACAAGAAATCAGGCATGAGATGTATTTGTTCTGTTTTGATAAAGCAGGAGGTGCATGGTTCATCATTAAATATCAAAACACCCTGAGCACAGCATGTTCCTCCTGTGGAGACTGGCACATAATGTGAATTTATATTTACGGTAAGATGCAAAGTTCTCTGTGACAAAAGGCGCTCGTTGCAATGTCATGAAGACCTACCAAAACATTTACAGGAAAATATGCAACAACAAGATTGCTAATATAAGATGGAGCTAGGTTGTTGAGGGCTTTGTAGGTTAGAAGTAAGATTTTGAATTATTTTCTGGATTTGACAGGGAGCCAATGGAGATAAGCTAAAACTGGAGAGATATGATCTCTCCCAGTAACTCCAGTTAAAACTCTGGCAGCAGCATTTTGGATCAACTGAAGATGTTTTAAAGAAGTTTTTGGGGACACTGATAATAAACCATTGCAATAGTGAACCATGAACCATGAACCAGTTTTTCTGCATCATTTTTAGATCAGATGTTTTTAATGTTAGTGATATCACGCAGGTGGAAGAAGGTGGTTCTAGTAACGTTTTTAATGTGGGGGTTAAAAGACACGTCCTGATCAAAAATAAGATTTTTAACATTAGAGCTGGAGGACAGATTAATGTCATCCAAGGAGGGAGAAAGACTGAAAAAATTATGCGTAAGGTGTTCAGGTCCAAAAACCAAAACCTCAGTCTTGTCTGTGTTCAAAAGCTGAAAATTTAGGGTCATCCAGGTTTTTATGTCTTTAAGACAGTCAGGTCATCTGGTCAGTTTCTTTTTTTTTAGCTGAAACATTTCAGAAAAAAAAAAAAAAAGAATCTGTCCAGATGACCTGACTGAAAATTGATGGATTGTATACCTGGATTATTATGCATGGACTTTCTTAGTCTTTATGACATGGTTGTAGTCTAAATAGCTGATTGGATTCATTGGGTTTCATGGACAAATATAATTGTGTATCATCACCATAACAAGGAAAATTTATGCCATGCTGTTTAATAACTTTACCTAATGGAAGCATAAGGTAAAGAATATTGGTCCAAGCACTGAACTCTGAGGAACTCCATGACTCGTAAAAAGCAGCTTTTCTGTCCGGCTTTCAGGGGGAAATCGAGTTGACTCATTTCCTCCTTTTGATTATCTTACAATGTTAGCAGTGCTATCAGAAGTTTAGATGTTTGACTTGCATAGCCTTGCTGTCTGGGTACTATTATCTGCTGTGTAGCAAATTATGTTTAATTACATTACAATACTGGCCGGTTGGTACTGGTACTTTTTTGGTTTA